AAAAAAAAAAAAAACAAACAAAACAACAACCAACCTAGCTTCTAGAAATTGACATTAGTCTTTTCAATTGTTAATCCACAATTACTTGCTTAAATGATATGCTTTAAAGGGGGGGGGGGGGAAGACGTAATCCTTAGTAATAAAAGGAATGCTGGTGGTGCAACAGTTAAATGATCCGCTACTAACCAGGAGATTAGGAATTCTACCCAGTAGCTGAGAGAGAGAAGGACATGGCATTTTGCTTCCACAAAGATTGGTGGTGTTTACCATTGAGTTGGATCCAACCCATAACTGACCCTCCAGTGGGTTTTCAGAAGCGGTTAATCATGTGGGAGGAGATTACCCATCCTTCTGTGGAGCTTGAACCACATGCCTTCAGAATTACAGTGCAGCTTCTTGTCTCTAGGCCACCAGGACCATTGCTGGGTGCTGTTCTGTGGGTTTGCTGGGGGTTGGACTCACTCGGTATCATCCAGCAACAAGAGCAGGAAGAGTTCACACTTAAAGTCTGTATGTTCCAGCCTAAACCATTTATATGCATCATCTTGGTTAGTTCTCTCAAGCCCTTGACCTCTTTTACACATGAGGATAAAGCCCTAAAAGGCTTTGGTAATTTGCTCCAGGACACAGCATTTTCCATATTCCCTTACAATATAAAGCATCTAGGAGATTTGTTAAAAGCACAACTGTGCAGACCTTGTTCTGTACCCACAGACTAGGAACTCCAGGGGGAATTATGTTTAATCCATGCACATTGCTTCCCCACCCCCCACCCTATCCCTTCACTCACCAAACTCTGCAACTTGTAAATATCCCCCACCCCACTTTCAACTCTCTTGTCCCCTTCCCTTCCTTCTTTAGATATCCGTACACATCTTACTGGTTATCCCTTTGCTTTTACAGTATTGGTATTATACAGTATTCGTTATTACGCACCTGAGTTAGTTCACTCAGCATAATGCTCCCGAGCCTCTCCCATGCTGTTTCCACGTTCTTGCTATTGTGAATAATGCTGTTATGAACATTGGTATACAAGTCTCCGTTTGTGTGTCAGTTCTTATTTTCTTAGGGTATATTCCAAGCAGTGGAATAGCTGGGTCATATGGTATTTCTGAGCTTTTTGAGGAAACGCCAGGCTGCCTTCCAGAATGGTTGTACCATTTTACAATCCCACCAATAGTGTATGAGAGTGCCAGTCTCCCCACATCCTCTCTTGCGGTTCTGTTAAACTTTGCCACTGCTACTTGGGTGAGATGGTATCCCATTGTGGTTTTGATTTGCACCTCTCTTATTGCCAGTGATTTTGAGCATTTCTTCATGTGTCTGTGGGCACATCCGAATGTCTTCCTCTGTGTAAAGTTTTTCCATGTCTTTTGCCCATTTTGTAATTGGTTTATCAGACTTTTTCTTGTGAAAGCCCTATAGGATTCTGTAAATTTTCATTATGAGACCCTTGTCTGAGATGCCATTGCCAAATTTTTTTCCCAGTCAGTAGGTTTTCTTTTCACCCTATTGGAGAAAGTTTTTGATGCACACAGGGACTTAATCTTTAGAAGGTCCCATTAATCAATGTTATCCTCTCCTGGCTGTATGTCAGCCTCTTTAGGCCTTCTAAGTTTTGTCCCATTTGACTCTTGTGATCTTTATCATTTGGGGCTTTACTGTTAGGTCTCTGATCCACTTTGAGTTAATTTTTGAGTACGGCGTGAGATGTGGATCCTATTTCTGCTTTCTGCGGGTGGAAGTCCAGTTTCGCCAGCACCATTTGTTGAAGAGGTTGTCATTTCCCCAGTAAAAATGAATTCTTGGTAACTATAGTCTTTTCTCTATGTCATGATGTTGCCTATTGACCCAGTGGTGAGAATTTTCTTGGCATTGAGATGTAGTCCATATTGAAGGCTGTAGTATTTGATATTCTGCAGCAAATATTTCAAGTCCTCTTCCTACCTTTGTGTTGGCAGTGCAACTTTCTACCCACTAGGTCACCAGAGTTCCCTCTGTTAACAAGGCATGAGAGCTATGGCTCAACAACTTGTGTTTCCATTGTACGTGGGTAATCTCACTGTGTTGCTTTCTGTACATGCTTCTTACCAGCATCCCTAACATTCACTGTCAGGTTTTAAGTTGGTTCCCTGCACAGCCTGGGGTTGGCCTAGAAGGATGTGCTCAATTCCTTCACTTGTTGACTGTTAAGGGAGCCCTGGTGGCGTAGTCAGTAGGGAGTTGTCCTGCTAACCCAAAGGCAGCGCCTCTCTGACGGTTCAAATCCACCAGCTGCCCCTTGGGAGAAAGATGAGCTACCTCTTCCTGTGTGATTTACAGCCTCTGAAAACCCCCTGGAGGGTCAGCTCTGAGTTGAGTCTGACTGCACAGTAGTGAGAGGCGATAATGACGGATGACAGGGAGCCTCCTCATAGCAAAGCTGCTGAAACGTAACTTGACCTCACCATCTCCCCAAGGTGACCCCAGCTGAGATCATCCCTCCTGGGCAGACACAGCCCAGACATCCTCTCTATCGTGGGGTCCCCTCTGTGAGTTCCTAAATTGGTTTACCTCCCTTGACACCCCGTCCCTATGTCATTTTACCCATATTCCACAGGGCATCCTGGCTGTCCCCCTGGACCAAAGTTGGCCTTTCATTCCCTCCCCTACGCCGACAAGATCTTGTAAATAACACTCACTTAGAACTTTTCTGTACACATGGGTGGAGGATCTCATTTGTAGCCTAGGAAGCTAGGTCCCAAGAGTCTTGCTCTTGCTCTGATTTACATCTGTGTGTGAACCACATGCTCATGCATGCCCCAAATGTCTCCTTTGAGTTACATTAACATCTAGATGGGTCTCTCATGACCTGCCTTTAAAGGAGCAGTGTCATCTCTTTGATGTATGGCCACACTCATGGTGCTGCTGTTGCCATGTCTCCCTGAATTCCAAAGGGTATCTGGGAACTTCTTCCTGGCAGCCAAAGAGCTGTGTCTTGTCAGGGTCACTTGCTCTTTCTCTCTCTCACTCTCTCTCACTGTCTCTCTCTCGCTCTCTCTTCCTCTCTCCTTCTTCCTTCCTTCCTTCCTCACTCTCTCCCTCTCTCTGTCTTCCAGCACCCATTTAATAACCTGCCCTCACCCCTCTGCCCGCAGGCTGCACGTGGGAATTCGGCGCCATGGTGAACTACATCAAGAAGACATATCCTGTGACCCAGCTGGTTGTCGTGGGCTTTAGCCTGGGAGGAAATATCGTGTGCAAATACATGGGGGAAACACAAGCAAACCAAGAAAGAGTCCTGTGCTGTGTCAGCGTGTGCCAGGGGTACAGTGCACTGAGGTGAGTGAGCTTTGCCACGTGGGCCCACAGCTTCTTTCCAGCGAGTCCTGAGTCTGGTACTCGCTTATCAACTGCACCACATAATAATCTGTGAAAATTATGGCAAACGTTGGGGCAGGTTGACCAGAATTTCTAAGTCTTAGGCTCACTTGGTTTTGCTTCCGCATCCTGTGTTGGAGTTGACCTCTTAAACCTGGCCTGCATCACTGCATTTGGGGAGTGTGTCTGTGACTAGCTAAGTCCAGTCACCCATTTATAGCTGCTGTCTCCCTGTGGAGTCTCTGTGCAGAGAACACAGGGCACTGGCAAGCCGGAGTCTGAGAGCCAGCCAGGCCTTGTAACACTCCCCACCCTGCCTCCAACCTAAAGACAGGCTGAGTCTCCGATGCTTCTGGAAGGGATCTAGACTAATCACTTAATCTACACCCTCACCTCTAAGTAGTCATCTCCCACGTTCATCCCAGATGTCTTCACAAAAGAGCTGACTTACTGGGTCAAGGTTTATCTTGCCTTTTAGTCTCCTGCCAGCAGATACCCTGCCGAATGTCTCTGGTGTGAACACTGACGTCGTGCTCAGAGAGCATTACATTTGATCACCAGAAGGATGTGGAGCAAGGTTTCACTTATCTCTATCCCCCGCCCCAATCCATAGAATCTCCAGTGACGGCAGCTTTATTGAATTTGTTGCAGCAGCACCATCTGCTGTTGGCAAGAACACATCTGCACATTTGACTGGGTGACTCAGGTGTGGAAGCAAAGAAGGTTCAAGAATCTAGGTCACTAAAACTTGTGAGGTGTTAACACATAAATAGGCTAAAGAGCCTTTCGCCGAGGTCTAAAAGAGCTCCCTGCCCCGTGCACTGCAGGCCTGTCACTTATTTTCACATCCGTTTCACAGCTAATAGTGAAGCACTTTTACCCAGAACACACAGCCTTTAGCAGGACAGCAGAACTGGTGGCAGGTCAGGACCCACCATCATGCCCACATGCTGGTGCCACCCAGGGCTCAGGTCCCCTCAATGTCCGAACAAGATGTCCTCACTGAGGGAAAGTTCTAGATGATAAACCAGTGTGACCTTTTCTTTTCCTGCCGAGGCGTGGGAGTGATGAGCCTTTTCAGCCCTGGGATGATGTCAGCCATGCTTCTTTACGCCGAGGTGGAGCCGGGGGGGCCTCGTCTGCCTCTACAGGGGCCACACAGCAGCTCGTGGTTCTGGTAAATCTCTCCTAGTTGAGTCTAGAGAACCGCTTGCTCCATGATTCCCCGCCCTCCGACTTCTTATTCCAGTAGTGCGCCTGCCGCGTAGCCAGAGCCAGCTGAGGCTCAGAGAGAAGCCAGCTGCCCGCTTGCTGTACTTAGCAACGACTGTTGTTGTCGGCTGCCATGGTGATGCTGACAGTTCATGGCAGCCCCACACACAACAGGACAAACCACTGCCTGGCCCCACGCTACCCCCTTGACTAGTTGTAGGTCAGACCTTTGTTTTCATTGGCTTATTTATAAAGGAGATCCGTAGACCTTGCCTCCAAGCCCTTCTTGAAGCCTGTTCACATTATAGTAACAAGTAAGCTTCCACTGCTGGGCCAGGAATCAAACCCCGGTCTCCCACGTGGAACATTCATTCTCCCACTAACCCTTCTAACAAGAACAGCAAAGCTTCTCTCCTGATGGACAAGCTCCCATTTTAGGATGTGCTGAACTGCTGAAGGAGGCCATGCTGCTCAAGGCAGGAGCGCAGGGCCTACCAGCCTGCTGAACCTACATGATGCCACCTGGCTACTACTGTCCCTGTGTCTGTTTATGTCCCATCTTCTCTCTTGGGCCCCAGGGACTGCCCAGACTTGGCCTGGAGTGGTCAGGACTGCCATGCCTCTGTCTAGTCGTGCCCAGTTAGAAGTAATCGGGCTAAGGAACTTATAATACACCAAATCAGTGAAGAAGTTGCCTTTATTTTTTAGAGTAAAAGTATATATGACAGAATGTGCATTTTCAAAGTGAGAGAAAAGGCATCTTTGTAAAAATATCACTGTGTATGTGCAAAGTCTGAAAGGGAACATACACACACACACACCCCAGATTAAAATAGTTCTTACGTTGGCATGGTAGCACTTTGGGAAGTGTTCCTCGTACGTTAATTTTGACGTTTAATTACCATACCACTTTGAAGTTTCCTTTTAATATCTTCCAGGCTATTACGTGGACCGACATCCCATAAATTCGTCACCCGTCTTAGTTCTTAGTGCCCCTGCCTTCTCCTCCCTTGTTGAATATTTAAATCATGCTAATCCCCAAGCTCACAGCCTTACAGAACCACTTTCTTGTCTCTATTCCCCACATTTCTTAGACCCCACAGGAAAACCCTATAGCTGATCTCATGGCCCCTCGTCCATTTAAGACAGAAGATTTCAATTAACTTGGGCATTAGAGTCATTCTTTACCTCACTTCATTCCGTTCCCTTTAACCAATATTGGGTCCCCTCTTTTTGGAAAATATAAATGGGAAAGTTGAGCTTGTTCTAGGAAGTCCTGTACCATCGTGAAGTGGTTGGTCCAGCTCTTCCTCACTTAATTAGTTGCTGTGAATGTCATTTTAAAGGCTTGTTTTGTTCAGGCCCCCTCATAAATTTGGAGGGTTTACTTTAGAAAAAAAATATTGTGCTTTCCACATCTTTTAAAATTCTTTTGACAGTTCAAAGAGAGATTATTATTTAATGTCACATTGGTTGGAAATAAAAGCATTTTAAAGGCACTTTATTTTGGAGACCAACTCTCAGCTCACTGCTGTTGAGTTGGAGCTATCTCATAGCAGACCCTCAGTGGGTCTTCAGAGGCAGTAAATCACAGAAGGAGATTGCCTGTCTTTTCCCTGCGAAGCAGCTGGTGCATTTGAGTCACAAAACTCTAGATTGTCAATGCGACTCCTTATCTACTAGACAAGCAAAGTTCCCTTGTAAATAAAACAGATCTTTAAAAGTCCATACATATCAAAGTCCCCAGGTGCTCCTGTGGATCTGTGCCTTTAACAGCGTTTAACACTGTAACAGGCTTTAACAGTGTTTGGACAGAAAAGACCCAGACGCTCCAACCTCAGACCTCCAGTCCCTAACTTCCTCCAAGCTCAGCCTCAGTGCCATCTTCTTGTCCGTCAAAATAAACAATTGAATAAAATATAAATGAACAATTTTTATATGTGAGCAATTGAATAAAATAGAATTTTCACATACGATTTCACAGGGAGACTCCCCCCGCCCCCCCCCCCCCCCCGGTTTTTTCAGCATACTCCTTTTGTCATTTTCTGTCCCAAAGACAGGATGACTTTGTGAGCACGTTGCAGCCTCAGGAAGCCCCTTCTCTTTCGGAGTTAGCCTGGTTCTTTCGGCAGATTTTGAAACCCACCTTCCTACCAGTAAGGATATGCCCTGACTTATTCATACTCTGACGTACTATGGGCACATGGCCAGAAGGGACCAGTCCTTGGAGAGGGACATCATGCTTGGAAGGGTAAAGGAACAGTGCAGGAGAGGAAGACCCAGGATGAGATGGATTGGCTCAGTGACTAGAGAAATGGGCTTAGATCTGTTGGAGGCAATGAGATTGGCTCAGGACAGAGCAGGGTTCAGAGCTAATGCACATAGGACTGCTATGACTCACAGGCAGCTCGGTGGCACATGACAACAACATAACAAACCAAGACAAATCAAGGTCCTGGCTATTCCGTGGTTTAACCACATCGGGTGCTCATTTGAGGAGCCCTGGTAGCACAATGTTATTAAGCCCTCAGCTGCTCACCTGAAGGTTAACAGTCCGAACCCACCTAGTGGATCTGTGGGAGGAAAATCTGACAATCTGTTCCCATAGACATTATGACCAAGGAAACCCTCTGAGGTATTTGTACTCTATCATATGGGGTCATTATGAGTCAAAAGCAAGTCTACAGCAGCTAGCATCTGACATTCATTCAGGGGCTTTTGTGTCAATTTTTCATTTGCATCACGAATGCATCGTTCCTTCCATTTGCCCTGGCAGCTCTTCCTCGGACGTTCTCCGAGTCAGCAGGCGTTCCCACATCTTTTTCTATAAAGCACTTTCTGCTTCACTTCCTCCATAGTTGCCTTGTTTTGAGTCAAGGAACCATGTTGCACCCATCACAGGATTCCTTCCAGTCCTGGCCATCTCGGGAAGTCTCATGATACTCTCCTTAGTCATCTTGTGTGTGCTGTGCCCGTCAGCATTTCGGTATCTGAGACTGAAGACATGGCATGTTCCCCGCCCCTTCCTCTCCTAGCCATCGCGTCTCACACCCCACTGTTATTCTCGTCACGCTGTGGTACTTGAAGCTGCCCTCACAGCACCCTGTCATGGTGGTTATCAGAGTGTTCTGTGCCTGTCTCCATCACTTCTCTGTACACCTTCTTGATGAGTCATCAGATTTCCAAGAAATTCCTCCCTGTCCTTCTGAGGTACATGTGACTCACCTAGCCTGGCTGCCAAGACCATCTCTCCATTCACCACAGCCTCTCCACCCTTCAGAATCCCAGCCACTGGTAACAGAAGCCTTATGCAAACACCTCGGAGGTCCCTCACGTGGCCACGATGGAAATGTCCAATCACCTCGGCAGTAGAAGCAACCTGGGGGTAGACATGGACTCTCTAGTTCAGTGCCCTGATGTGACAGATGAGGAGATTGAGGTTCTGAGAGGGGAAGTGATTTGCTCAGTTTGAACTTCCCAGTGGGGTCAGATGAATCATAGTTTCTGTCTCTGCTATACTGCTTGCCAGCTGGACAATCCAAACATTTATCTTGTCACCCCTCATCCTGTCACCAGCCCCAAGGCCCCGGGCACACCAGCCTAGTAGACCTGTCACCCCCTCTTCTTGCATCCCCCAGCATAAAAATTTGAAAGCTTTGGAAAATTTGGGGTTTGGCATCAGTGAGAGGTTTTGGTGGAGATGTGTGCATAGCAGTTCCAGATCATGTGCTCAGGCCGTCGACCACCACTGAGACAGTTGAGGGTCACAGCCCTTCTGTCTAACCTCTTCACACTCACTTCACCCCTTCTCAGTGTCTCTCCCATCATTCCCTCTTCTGAGCATCCCTATTCTAATAATTTTTAATAGCTTATAGCCCAAAATCTCTTTTCATTTTTCTCTTCTCACCCTTTCCTCCTTTCTTTCCCCTTTTCTTCTATTTCTTCATCATCTTCTTTTATTATGGAAAATTGCAGACCCACATAAAAAAGAATAGAACATTGAACCCCCACATTCTCATTGCCTTAACAGTGGCTGCTCTTTCATCCTCTGCTTTATGGCTACTCTGTCGTCCTCTGCACCCTCCCACTGTGCTCCCCAAAATAAACTGGATTATTTTACAGTGAATCCCAGACATTGTATCATGACAAGGTCATTCTAAAAGATTCTTAGGACTTCTTCTTAAACAATCACAATGTTATTACCATATAAAGAATAATAATTCCCCAGTTGTACCCCACTTTACAGTTCAAATCCACCAGCTGCTCTGCTCCATGGGAGAAGGGTGAGCAGTCTCCTCCCATGCCATCACTGCTTCTGAAAACCTCCTGGAAGGTCACCTGTGAGTCGGTTCTTAGTCAACAGTACACAAAGATCACAAACATCCCATTTTTTAATCAATGTTCAAATTTTTCTTTTTTGTAATTTTTTTTATCAGTTGACTTGTTTGAATGAAGATCTGCATAATACCCACACTCTGCATTTGTCAGTTTTTCTTTGATATTCTCTTTTAGGCTATACAATTGTCTTTCAGTTTATTTTCATTATTGATGTTAAAAAAATCAGGTATTTTTTTAAAAAAAACATGGGATTTATTCTTTTGTAGTGCATTTACCTTGATTATGTTTTATTACACTAATATATCATTACATTTTACTTTTTCAATTATAGACCCACAGTTGGTGGAAGGCAGCCGCTACGGTTTTGAGTGCTAAACCTCATACAGTCTGTTGCTGTTAGGTTGATTCTGACTCGTGAGGGGCCCAGTGTTAAAGAATAGCGTTTCTCCATAGGGTTTTCTTATCCATAAGAAAAACCACCAGAACTTTCTTCCACGGCACCTCTGAGAAGGTTCAGACAGCCAAGTGTTAAAAAACAACCACTTGTGCCGCCCAGGAACCGAACCAAAGCAGAGGAATGAGTGTTAGCCCAAGCAGACAGTGAAAGCTTGATCCTCGCATCTTTGTTTCTGGTCCTGCTTTGAACCCTGGACTCCTGAGAGTCTTTCTGCAAGAAGGGCCTGTGGCATGACTGACTCAAACCTTGGAGTGTGCCGGAGCATCGTTTTATGTCCTAAGTTTGTGGGCAGCACCCTCCTCCCTTCCCTGCCTCTGCATCCCCTCTACTATGAAGAGGTACTGGCAAGGCTTCCCTGCAGTCTGGAGGTCAGCAGAAAGGGGAGGAGAGTGAGGGCAAGTGAGAGCCTGCCCCGGGACCCTGTGGGGAGGGTCAGAGGCCTGGTTGGCTGTGGACAGCACAGCGTGGGCCACAGGTCAGAGCAGAAAGGAACAGGCAGGCAGAGGCAGCAGGCTGTGGGTGCTGACTGGGGACCCCATCCTTCAGGCCAAAGGGCAGGGGTCCACAGTCTTGACAGCCAGCGTCCTGCTGTCCTAGCCTGTCCTCTCTGCCCCTGTAGTGTTTGGACAGGTCCCAGCACACCATCAGTCCCTGGGAAGTAGTTGTTAGTCTTCGCTCTGACCTTTAGCCGACATTTCATGAACCTGTCACAGACCATTAAATCCTCATGCCAGGCTGCTTTTCTCTTCCCACGGCCACAATTTCCTGGGAAATGTTTATTGTTCGAAGCCACTCAGGTCCCCTGTCTTGTCATCTAGATGAAACAGGTAGGGCTTGTGTGAGGATGGTGACGCCCAGAGTAATTCACAGGGTGGAATTAGGCCTTGAGATCACCAATCTCCAAATGAAGGTTTGGTTTCATCCCCACCGTAAGAGAAGTGATGAGTGGGAAGGCCATGTGGGGCTCAGCCTGTGGCTGGCTGCTGGCGGAGCTCATAGAGAAGGTTGACAGTGCTGTGTCCTCCCTCCCCACGGCGCAGAGTCAGGACACAGCTCTGGGGTCAAGCAGGCTCAGGCCTCAGCTGTACCGTGATGTTTGAGTGTGACCCAGGGCACGTCTCCAGACCTGAGACCTTGGTTTCCTAATCTCTACAGTGGGGATATTACCTACCTGGTGTCGCTACTGGAAAGGTCAGATGGCATGTCTCACATTAGGAGCACCTAACACTTGCCAGCCACATGTGAGCTCTGGAGATAAAAACACCTTCCGGCCTCTCCCCCAGCTGTGCCCAGAAGGTCGCCTCACTTCTTGTTCTTGACCCATGAAAGTCTTAAGGCAAATGAATCCGAAGAGTTTTGTGTAGAAGATCAAATTATAAGGGGTTTTTTTTCCCATCTGAGTTTCTCCAACAACCACAGAAGAGTTTTATTTGCTGTATTTTCCTGAGCTGTACTTCTCACCTACCCACCCCTTACACTCCTGTTATTAAAGCCAGGCAGACATGGCCGCGTTGTGGGAAGAAGAGGGAAAGTGTCCAGGTGACAGCTGAAGTAGTCACAGGTGCTGGAGGAAGGTGGCACTGTCACCAGTCCAGACCCTGCCCCTGGAGGGGTTTCTTGCTGAGGTCAAGTTCATGGCGCCGTCTCGATTTCTGCATCTGCTCCTCTGCAGATGCAGTTTGAGGGCCTCGTCAGAGCTCCTGGCCCCATGGAAGCTGGGAAGCCGTGCTCTCTCCACACGGGCCGCTTGTTCCAGGGACAGGAGTGTCACCTCCTGGCCTGCTCCCGCCAGGTCCCCAGTACCAGGGACTTTCACTCACTCTCGCTTTGTGATTCTTGTAGGGCCCAAGAGACCTTCATGCAGTGGGATCATTGCCGGAGGTTCTACAACTTCCTCATGGCTGACAACATGAAGAAAATCATCCTCTCCCACAGGTACATTCTACTCTCCCGAGGGCAGCTGGCTGGCTTCCCGGCCACCCCCAACACGCCCACTCAGGGCACCCCCATGTGTGTCAGTGGAAAGGTGCTCCCTGGGGTTCTGCCTGGTGGCTGATTTGGGAGAAGCAGATTGATTGCCAGGCTCTTCTTTCAGGTTGATTCTGGGTGAGCGTAAACCTCCAGCCTTTTGGTTGGTTGGCCACCACACACATTCACAGCTTCTTTGAGTGTCAGACCGTTTCTCTAGATGGGAAAAGGGGGGAGTTTGGCATGGTATGGACTCTGCTGACTACACTGGTTTCTTGCTTAGAAACAAACTCATCCCAATACCAGGAGTCGCCCAATCCAAGATCAGAAACCACTCCTATAGCACTCCTTCCTAGAGTTGTGCTGAGGATGGTCTGTTGTCTGGACAGCCTCCCTCCACAAGATGCTTTCAGGCTTGGGCACCACAAATCATTCTCTGCAGGCTCTTTGCCAAAGGCCTGTGGAGCTTTTGACGGTGTCAGGGGTCCAGCCAGGACTCCGTGCATGGAGCTCGTGTACCGCCTGTACACAGCCCCTTCATGCTGCCTCCCTTCTGCCCAGAACCCTTCAGTGGGTCAGCGCTGCCCCGTGCCTCCACCAGCCCTGGTGTGCCATGTTATTATTGTTATGTGCCATCCAGTCACTTGCAACTCATAGTGACCCTAAGTACAACAACCCTGAACCCTGCTCTATCTTTTTTAACCCCCATATTTACATTATAGAATTTTTATTTTAAAACTAAAGAACCACAGTAACATTAATAGCAAATCCATTTGGAGATACTGACAATCTGGTCACCAAGAAATGAGAAAAGTTTCATGCAGCATTACTGTCACCCCTGTCTTTGAGGGGCCAGAAACAGAGGTACAGTTGATTAGAGAATAGTCACCTCTGTCAAGAAAGCCCTGCTTCACAATGTGTGGGTTTTTATACAAAAGTTCAATGGCCAGAGGACGATGAGAACTGAGAACTAAAATACTGGCACAGGAAGAGGTTTGGCTACTGGGTTTGTTGTCTGTAAACACCAAGGAGGGAAAGAAGGATCAAACTATATGAAAAATGAGACGAGAGGTTAAGTGTCATTAGGGTCTAATCTCCTTAAAAGTGCTGGGAAACTAGGAGATGCTTGTAGAGGCCGCAATGACCTTGTGAACCCTGCTCTATCTTGAGCCAAACTCATTGTCTCTGAGACAGCTACCCCATTACCTCACTGACTGAGTCAATCATCTCATCCAGGGTCTTCCTCTCTTGTACTGTCCCTCTGCCCTTCCAAACATAATGGCGCTCTCCAAGGACTGGTACCTCCTTGCACCATGTCCAAAGTACATCAGACAGAGCTTCAGAATCCCTGCCTCCTCCAGAGAACAGCCTGGTCTCACACTCTGTCCAGGACAAACCTGTTTGTTCTCCTAGCAGTCCATGGTATATTCAGTACTCTTCTCCAGCAACACAGCTCAAGGACATCAATTCTTCTTCTCTCAGCCTTAGTCATTGTCCAGCTCTCTGATGCATAACAAGTGCCAGGATGTTGTTGTTATGTGCTGTCCAGTCGCCTGTGACTCATAGTGACCCTATGTACAACATCTCTGAACTCTGCTCTATCCTGAACTGACCTCATCATCATCATCATCTCCGATAGCCCTGCATAAATACCAGCATGACATTTTCCCCCCACTGGGATTATTCTCATTCTCTCTCCCCGCACATCTCACCCACTCCAAATGGACAGGGTAGTACTTCTCCATAGCCCCCCTCCTGACACGCCCACCTGCTGGCCTCTCCCACACTGCCTCCAGCCCACCCAGCCCATCCTATGAGGTCTCCTTGGAAGCCCACTCCTCCAGCCTAGAGTTGTGTCTCTGCTGCTTCCTCCTTATAAATTAATTCTGTCTCCTTGGAGAAGTTAGGCCTAATTGGATTTCTACACAGCCTGGCACATAACAGACATTCAAAAACACAATGTTTGGGTATTTTAACTAAAAGCAATGTGACAGAATGATCAATTTATTTTTCTTTTTTACTGGTGAAAAGAAGGCAGGGTGTTGTCTATCCCATGGTGAACTGGTGGGGTTCTGTATATCTGGGCCAGAACTGCTCACACCCTCAGGCCAACATGCTGCCTCTGTCCTCAGTCATATCCTTAAATCCTCCCATCGAGTGCGTGAAGCATCCACTGTGCTGGCTGACAGAAACTATCCCAGACCCACGTGATCCGAGCATCTGCCTTGGGTGGACTGGGGCCCATTTGGGTGGGTCCCAAGCTTCTCTGAGGTCATATCACCAGAGGGAGAAGCCCTCTGCTATCAAAGCCCTCTGCCCATCTCTCCACACCTCGGAGCCCTGATTCCTCATGGGAATGGTTCAGCTTTGCTAAAGGGCTCGGTCTTACTGTTGGTTTGTCCAACAGTAAGTTTATCATGTGATTCTTAATTGGCAGACATCTCTGGGTGTCCCCTCAGTGTATGTACCTTTACAAAATTTACTACAGAAAACCAAACATATTTTAGAGAAACTTTAAATGTTAAATTCTATCAGATAAATAATCATTTGGGGTGGAGAATAGAAGCTAAAGAAACTTGGCCCTCTCTTTAGAGAGGCTGAGAAAGATGGGCACCAGAACGTTTTGTTTCCTAATGAGCTTTCCTGCGGGAAGGCCAGGCCTCACCACACACTCGGTCCACCCTCAGGACGGAAAGCAGAATTCTAAAGGCCTCTGCCTTTCTTCTTGTCCTTTCAAGATGGAATGTTTTTCCTTAATAGAAGTGGTTCCTTTACTGAGTGTGTTCGTTTTTTTGCTAACAAGTCCCAGTGGTATAGATTTGCCCCAACACAACCATCATCATCCTTCTTAAGAGGCACAAACATTTAACAAAAGGGGACAGCGTCAGCATCGGGTGAGGCACAGGCCCCCCACTCCTTAACACCCTGCCCTCCCCTCCCACAGAGCCCACACTGAGACCTCCTCCCTGCGTGAAGGTTAGTAATGCCCAGTTGGGCTTGAACCCAGGTCTTTGGTTTGTCTGGGTGCCACCATCGCTGCACAGAACGAACACATGCATCTTTGCCCCTGGAAAGGGAGCCTAGGTTTTGAAGTCCATCTTTCTGCAGTTATTCACAAATCAGCACTCATCTGGCACATTCTGAAGGTTAAAAAAAAAGACTAAAAACCATTGCCATCACATCTGCTCCAACCCGTGGCCGGCCCATGTGTTAGAGGGCAGACTGCCCCAAAGCGTTTTCTTGGCTGTGATCTGCCCACAAGCAGGTCAGCGGGCCTTTCTTTCCTGGTGCCGCTGTGTGGGCTAGAGCTGCCAACTTTAGGTTAGTTGCCAAAGATCCTCCCTCCCGACTTGCCTCTGGGCAATGCAGCAGGCTGTGCTGTGGGTGTTTATCATCTGCTTGCTAATCTTTATTTGCTCATGGCTCATTTCAGGCAAGCTCTTTTTGGAGACCATGTTAAGAAGCCCCAGTTCCTGGAGGACACAGACCTGAGCCGGCTCTACACAGCCACATCCCTGATGCAGATCGATGACAACGTGATGAGGTGTGTGCGTGTGCCTGGGGTTCTCGGAGCATGGTGCTCTACACAGCACACGTGACCCGTCCATCTGCCTCTGTCAGAACTTGTTGTTGTGATGTGCCATCAAGTCATTTGCATCTCTTAGTGACCCTGTGTACAAGAGCCCTAAACCCTGCTCTATCCTATGTCAACCTCACTATCCCTGACAGACCCACTTGCATTATCCCAATCACCGAATTGACCCACCTCATCAAGGGTCTTCCTCTCCTGTGCTGTCCCTCCACTTTTCCAAGCATGATGTCCCGCTCCAAGAACTGGTTTCTCCTTGCAACATGCCCAAAGTATGTCAGATGAAGCTTCAGAATCCTTGCCTCCAAGGATCAGCCCTGTTTCACCCTCTCCAAGACAAACTTGTTTTTCTCTAGCAGTCCATGGTATATTCAGCACTCTTCTCCAACACCACAGCCCAAAGGCATCAATTCTCTTTCTATCATCCCTAGTCATTGTCCAGCTGACACATAGCATGCAGTTGTGAAGACTGTGGCCTGAATCAGGCTCACCTTAGTCTCCAGCCTGACATCATTGCACTTCAAGGAAAGCCTTAAATACGCTTCTGGTGGCCTAGTCTACACTGCAATCCCAAAAGCATGCAGTTCGAGGCCACCAGCTGCTCTGTAGGAAAAGGATAGGCAATCTCCTCCCATGGAGAAAACCTGCTGGAGGGTCAGCTATGGGTCGGTTCTGACTTGACAGCTACAGCAACAATTTGCAAACAGGAGATCCTATAGTTTTTTAAAAAAATAAATAAAAATCTAATTTCTCTTTCCTCTTAGAAAACAGGAGAGGATTTGACCATGGTTCTGTAGTCCTTCATGGTTGATTCATTTGAACTGAGAAGCTGCCACTGCCCTAAATGGGGGTGACCCTGTAGATAATTACTATAGATCATGCTTATTGATCAGTTACTCTGGGCCAGTCACTGTGGTAGTTCGCACTGTGGTTTCCTAAACTTCACAACACCTTTTAAAAAGGGCATTTCCTCCTCTTCCTTTTACAGAAGAGAGGCCAAGGCCCAGAGAGGCTAAACCATTTTCCAAAAATCACACAGCCAGAGCTAGGATTTCCACCCAAGTGTCAGAGCCAGCACTTTTATATGCCTGCTGCCTCTCTGTGTTCTTCGTGATAGGAAGAGTGTAGCATGGGGTTGGAGCAGTGAGAAAATCATCACAGCCTTCAGACCTTATGGCAAGTGTTTGTAACTTCTTTTTCCTTGTGTATTTCAGGAAGTTTCATGGCTATAATTCCCTGAAGGAATATTACGAGGAAGAGAGCTGCATGAGGTACCTGCACAGGGTGAGTCACCAGCACCAGTCCTGGGGGGCAGCAGCACCTCAGAATCAATGACCTCAGCAGTTACATGGTACAGCGTGTGCCTCCTACACGGACTGTGGGGAGGTCTGGGAGGCTCTGGCTCAAACCTCTGTCCCTCTGTAACCTCCCTGTACTAACTCCGGCACTGTGTCCTTGCCTCATGGAGGCCAGCCTGCTCCCGTGTCCATGTCACATTGCTGGTACAGCCGCTTTTCCCTCTTGTCAGAATGATGCTACCCACTTCCTGCCATCTTCTTGGAGATTGTTCAGTCTAGGTTTTCTTCCATCCTGGATCCTCTCTCTGGTCATGTTGTATTTTGTGACTAAGGAGCTCATACCCCTATTAATGTGGTGCTTAGGACTAAACTCAAACTTTCTACCATACTCTGGGGAGCACAGAGCAAAATGTATTGACGTCTGTATCAAAATGTTGAGAAGCTTGTCTGCTGAGGAAGCAGAAGACTGGTTTATGTTAATGGAGCTTCTTACTTTTTATAATTGTGGACTCCTGCAATACTTGCCCTTTTGTAACAGACTTATTTCACTTGGCAAAATGTCCTCTGGATTAATCTGTGTGATAGAGTTTACTGAGCTCTTCCTTATTCCTTAACGTTCTGTGTTTGTACCAGTTTATCCATCTACCCACTTAGGTTGTCACCATCCCTTTGCTGTTGTAAATAAGACAGCACTGAGCAAGATGTGCATAGATCGTGTCCTGGTTCTTATTTCTTTAGGCTGGATACCAAGTAGTAGGAATACTGGATCAAATGGTATTTCTATTTCCAACTTCCTAAGGAAGCAACAAACTGTTTTCTGTAGTGTCTCTACCATTTTACACGCCCACCAGCAGTGTGTGAGTTCTAGTCTCTCCACACCCTAACCAATATTTGCTGTTTGCCGTCTTACTGGACTTTGCTTTGTTACTGGGGTGAGATGATATCTTCTTGTTTCTCAGATTTGTATTTCCCTAATAGGAGGGAGCGCTGGTGGCTTAGTGGTGAGGAGTTGCACTGCCAACACAAAGGCACAGGGTTCAAATCCACAATCTGCTCCACTGGATAAAAGTGGGCAGTCTCCTCTTTGAGATTTAGAGCCTCTGAAAACTCACTATGGGGCCAGTTAGGAGTTGGTTCCAACAGAACAGTACTCAACAATAGCTAATGAAGGGGGAGCTCTAGTGGCCTAGTGGATAAGAAGTTGAGTTGCCAACCCAAAGCACCAGGTTCAAATCTACCAGCTGCTCCACAGGTGAAAGATGGATAGTCCCTCCCGTGTGATTTACAGTCCCTGAAAATTAACTAGAGGGTTGGCTTTGGGTTGGTTCTGACTCCACAGCACATAACAACAGTAGCTGATGATTTTGAGCATTTCTTCATGTTTGTTGGCCATCTGAATGCCTTTTTTGGTGAAATGTCTTTTCATATCTTCTGATCTTTTCATTTTAATGCAATTTAGCAAAATAAGTAAAAGTTTATTAAGACAGTAAGGGGCAAAAAAAAACCATGTTAAAAAAAAAAACCCATGTTAATTAAAAAAAAAAGACAGTAAGGGGCCAGTGTAACACAGGCCATGCAAAAGTGTTAAAGTGAGAAGAGAGAGGAGAGGGAAGGACCCCTGGAAAGACAGGAAAACCAGACCTTACAGCATGCTGTCAGCAGAAAAGGAGAGTAAGAGAGAACCTCCTTGCTCATTTCTGTGATTGGATTGTCTTTTTCTTATTGTCCTGGTAGCCTCATGGTAAGGAGTTACACTGGCAACCTAAAGGCACCCAGTTCAAATCCACCAGATACTCCATGAGAGAAAGATGGGCAATCTCCTCGTGTGCACACTTCCTCCTGAAGACCTGCTGGAGGATCAGCTATGAGTCAGTTCTGACTTGATGGCACCTAACAGCAATATATATTTCTTTTTTGCCTGAACCACAACCAAGCTAGTCTCCGTCATTCTGTCCCTACACAGTTGATCTTTTTACCCAGGTTTGGGGCTTCCCATTTCACTCTGTTCATGTCCATACGTTGGTATGACCCACCACTTTCCCAGCTAAAGCAGGTAATTGTGAGTGACAGCCCTGCTGTCTGTCATACTGGCCGTCTCTTAGTTTAGCATCGTCATCACCCAGGCTTTTGATGTCTTCATTAAAATCATTGTAGAACTGATGAGCCAACATCAGAGGCCTCCAGCTTCACGCAGCTGTGTGCTTCCTGGACATGGTTGGTCGGCAGCAGCTTAGTCTGCCCACCAGCCTCCATCCCCCTGAAACGACTGGCCGTTAACAGTCCTGGAAAAGTGGATGTTGAATGCAGCCTTGTCAAGAGCTTCCTGTAATCCTCCAGTGTATCCTCAGCCTCCAAATTCTTCTAGAAAGGCTTCTTTGTCTGCAGTAGAGCACACTCCATTATTTTGCTCTCCAATTTTTCATAGAAATTGAAGAGACATTTACATAATTCTTTGTGAAATCATCTTTTCTGAAAAGTATGGCTAACCTGAAACTCTGGGACGATCATCCAGAACACTGGCAGGGAGCTCCTCTGAGCACGTACCCCATCTACATCAGAGCAGACGGGTCACCTAGGACACAGGGGGACTTTGCCCTATGCTCGCCTGCCAGGGCTGTAACAACAGCGGCAGTTGTAATTCATCCCACTGTCAGTGAGGCCATGGCGTCCTCAAGCCACCTTCATCGGGCCAAGCAGAGACCCCCTTCCCTCTGCTTCAAAGACATGTCTAGTAGTGACTTGAATCAGTGGGGTCTGGGAAAGACACTTGTTCATTTCCTTCTGCTTTTATTTTCTCACTGCAGATTTATGTGCCTCTCATGCTGGTTAATGCAGCTGATGACCCCCTGGTGCATGAAAGTCTTCTAACCATTCCAAAATCTCTTTCAGGTAAGTATGTCTTCCCAACTGCTCCCCAGCCACTCAGCAAATTGCCACAGTAAATTCTTGTCACCTTCACCACACTGTCATCTCCCAGCGACCAGCCATCAGGGAAAGAACATCTCCTCAGTGGTCTTTTTTCTCTTTTATTTTTGTTGTTGTTGTTGTTGTTAGTTTGCTTACAAAGTTCATATACATTGGGTTTCATATAATTCTTTATTAATATTGTATTTCCTCCAATCATTCTCATTCATTATGTTTTTTAAGTGAATCACTGTTGGACTTTAGCTATCCCTGTCTATTCTCCTGGATTCTTCCTGTTTCCTTCCTCCTCCCTCCATGCACCAAACTGTGCTACCCTGTGGTCTCACTTCTACCCATCTTCACCCTTCCACTCTCCCCGCTTACCCCCTTGGGTTCCCATACATGTTTTGCTAGTTATCCTTCTGTTTTTACAATAATGGTCTAATGCAATATTTGTGCTTATGAGGCTGAGTTAGTTCATGTTCTCCAATCTCTCCCAAGTTATATGGTTTGTTTGGTTTTGGGTTTTTTTAAATCGTTGCTCTTGAGTGTTGCATTATTCAGCTTCCCATCCTCCAGTGGTGCTGCTGGGGACCAGGCCATGGCTTCTTGTCATCCACTCTTATTATAGGCTGCTGGACGTCCACCCATGTCCAGAGCCATGAGGGGGTTTTAGTAGTCACCTGGAGTTTTGTGACATTACTGCACCAGAGCTATGGTTCTGTTAAGTCGGAGAGTTTGCTTTAAACAGATACTTAAACTTAAAATTTAGCCTGGAAGGTCAGTTCTGCTACCAGCATGCTAGCCTCCCCATCTGCTTTGAGTATAAAGATAACAAGCAACAGAAACAGCAACCAGAGTTGCTCAGAGGAACTTTCCTGGGCTTCCAGCTGACGCAGTCTCTTTCCACACTGGCTAGGAGTGGAAGGAAAAACTAGAGAGAGTGGCAGAAGGAAACCCTTGAAACATCAGAGTTACTTCACATTGTAATCTCAAATCCTGGGAAAGAGCCCCAGTGGCACAGTGGCTAAGCGTTTGGCTCCTCTCTGAAAGGTTGGGAGTTCAGAGCCACTCAGCAGATGAACAAGAGAAAGGCCTGGTGGCCTTCCTCCATAAAGATTACAGCCACACAAATGCTGTGCGGTGGCTCTGCCTTGGTCACAGGCGGTGGCTGAGTCAAAATGGACTCAGCGGCACCAGACAATAAAATGGGAGGAATCTTTCACAGCCCCCACGATCCTCATTGAATTTCCTTTTGTAAACGTTGCTTATTAACTGGGGAATTCTGGTTCTGATTCTTCTGTGAACCCCAGGTCAAGAGATAGCAGCGAGTGGACAGAGGGCCCCAGCAGCCGAAGCTCAGTGGGGAGCAGCTTGTTTGGAGGCCGGGTGTCCTGTGGCACAGGCTCTGGACTCATTTCCTCCCGTGCATCTAATGTAGTAGCAGCCTGGGCTCTGATGCTCTCACAAAAAAGACCTAGGAAAGAGCTATTGAAAAGGAGGAGTAAAGGGAGGGAGACAAGAAGAGAGTTCACGCTGCCTGGCTACATATTTCACACACACCTTCAATAATATGTGGGATTAACCTAGAGAGGGTTAAACCAGGCTGCTCCTTGGAGGCAAGGATTCTGGGGCTTTGTCTAACATATTTTGGACATGTTGTGAGGAGGGACGGGTCCTTGGAGAGGGACATCATGCTTGGTAGGGTAGAGGGACAGCGCAGGAGGGGAAGGCCCTCTATGAGGTGGATTGATTCGGTGACTGGGATAATCGGCGTGGGAGTGTCAGAGACAGTGTGATTGGCACAGGACAGAGCAGGGTTTAGGGCTGTTGTACATAGGGTCGCTATGAGTCACAAACGACTCGACGGCACATAACAACAACAACAACCTGCACCCAGGGATGCCTAAAGTCAAGCTCCAGGTGTGAATTGTCAGGATGGCTGGTCAGCACCGCCAGCTGTCTGCATCTTCTGACACATCTTGGGACTCCAAGTTAACTTTTGGTCTTGAAAAAAAGTGTGTTCCTTGTCAAGTGGATAATCGTATCAATCCTGAGGCCCTCCACAGAGTCTGGTCCCACCTGTAGAATTAGCATCACTGAGAAGCTTGTTAGGAAAAGCTCCTTCCAGAACTGTTAAATCAGCATCTGTGTTTTAGCCAGATTCCTCCAGTGTTCAAGTGTAGATCATACTTAGGTTGGGTGCGTTCTTAGGTGACATTCATAGCACATGTGAATCATGAGGGGAGCGTTAACAATGCCAGGGATTGGGTTTCCCTTCTCCCCGCCCCCACAGGGGTTAATTTCATTGACCTAGGCCTAGCATAAGCCCAGTTGCCATGGAGTCAGGCCTGATTTATTGCAAACCGTCGTATGTCAGAGGGAGTTTTTTTGGAAATAGATCACCAGGCCTTTCTTCCAAGCACCTCCGAGTAGCCTTTTGGTTCACAGCTGAGCGCGTTAATGATTTGCACCATGCAGGGACTTCGAGCCCTCCCTACAGGGAGCTGTAGAAACTCCCCCTGGTGACTCTGAAATACAGCCATTTGAGAACCACTGGGCTGGATTCCTGAGTGGTTCTTACGCTCCTACTTATCCCAGAACAACTTTATCCAACTGTTTTGCCTGGTCCAGCAGAACTCCTTCCGGCTTTTGGTGAACAAGGTAGGTGAGTAGAGGTCGGCTGCATCTTAGGTGACATACATAGCACCTGCCCTGGAGCAGAGAGTCCCTGTGGACAGCAGTTTGGTCCTGACACGCCTGGCCCACCAGGAGGTGATGCTGACTGGGCCGCATTTGGTCGGGTTTGCGCTTGTCTATTCGCCTTTTGTAGACCCCAGTGACTCACAGCCACCTCTCCCCTGCAGAGAAACGGGAGAATGTCATGTTCGTGCTGCCTCTGCACGGGGGCCACCTGGGCTTCTTCGAGGGCTCCGTGCTGTTTCCCGAGCCCCTGACGTGGATGGATAAGCTGGTGGTGGAGTACGCCGACGCCATCTGCCAGTGGGAGCGGAACAAGTCACAGTGCTCTGACACGGAGCTAGTTGAGGCCGAGCAGGAGTGAGACACCCCCTGGACTGCGGTGCGAGCCAGCACCTCCTCTGGGACCCGCGTCCCCTCGCCAGCTCTTTCAGGTCCCCCTTCTCCCTCAGTAACCTGGATCGGACCTCACACCATCAGCAGGGGCCACCCAGCAGGCATGCCTGTCTCGAGCTCTTTGCCAGGAGCCCCAGCTCTTTGCGTGCTTAGGTTACTGGTCTCCTCCATTGCATTGTTAGCCATGGTGACAAGAGGCAGGGTTCTCACCCACCTGTCCAGGTTCAGCAATTGATTGCTTTGAAGCCAATTAAGTCTAGTTTCCCTATTAAAAATTTGTCAGAACTGCAGTTTTGCTTTGCCAATCAAAAGACTTTCCCCCTAGAACAGTGTGGGGTATCTGTTAAGTTTTGTGGTGGTTGTACGTATCCTCTCGTAGACCCTGGAAAGAGCTCACCAGACCGGCCTAGTGCTGAAGACATACTTCAGCCTGGAAGATGCTGGCCTCTGAAGGGGGAAAGGAAATTCCCTCGAGTCACAGGCCAAGTGCTCTCGGACAGCCCCCACGCTTTCCTGGTGATGAGAGTTCCCTGGGGCGCTTGTGAAAAATTCAGCCTCCCTGGTCCTTCCCATGCAGAGGCCTATTCTGTGGGTATGGTAAGGGGCCTGCGGATTTTAATTTTTGACCAGTGCCCCAGTGGATTCTCATCACCGGGCAAACTTGGGGAAGAACACTGTTCTATGAGGCCTTTGAATAAGAAACGTCTTGGTAGCTCTTTTTAGTGAAATGCTTCAGGCTTACTCTTGCCTCCCAGGGGCCTTGAAGGCAGCAAGGACTGCCTTGTTGCTGCCCCATATGTTGTCGAGGAAGGACCCTGGGCAGGAGCGGTCCTGTCTCTGCTTCTCGTTGGCTGTATGATCCTGGAAAAGCCCCTTGGCCTTTAGTTTACTCAGCTGTGAAATGGGGGCGCAGGGACCAGGCTGATTGCCGAGATCACTTCCAGTTCTAAAGTTCAATGACAAACTCAGTTCGCTGAGGTTTGTGAGAGTGTGGTCCCCCCAGTCCTGGCAGGACGCCTTGGCTTCCTCTTTGTTTGCCTTTCTCTTTTTTACCCCTCATTCCATATGGAAGTTTTTGTGGTTGGTGTTTATTTTGTTTTAAGCACTTAATTTTTTTTTTTTTAAATCCTGACTTTTGAAACCAAACCATTCAAAAGAGTTAGGTCTAACTAGGAGAAAGAGATTTCCAACTGCCGAGGGTATTGCTTGAAAACCAGCATTTTAGTTTAGTGTCTTTGTATTCTGCCTGGGAGGTTTTTCCAGACTGTGTCTTCTTGAATCAAAATGCTGCTCTCGATTTCAAGTACTCCTTTTCTCTAGTCCTGTGGCATTTGAATATCTGAGAACCCTGCACTTTGAAAAACCCTCCATTGCTGTCCTGGAACCGAATGGTACTAAGGGTGAAACTGCCTGGATATTTAAAAGAGATTTCCCCTGCTTCCATGCCTTTGGCCCCAGGACAGGCAGGAACACGGTTGTGGCTCTGTGTAGCCCAGAACTGCCTGAGACTCGAATGCAGAACCAGGGAGTAGTTCGGGAATTGGTCCAAGTGACTATGATGGTAATGTGCACAACTTGAGTGAAGTGTTTCCTGACAATCGCAAGATTATCCTGACTGATGACATCAGAAACAACCATCCCGTAAAAGGATTGAGATTTCTGTGGTCTTAGCTTTGCTTTGGTATCATTTCTTATACTCTCCAAATCCTGTCATTTGTGGCTTTCCCCCCGATTGTCGTTCCTGCCCTGCATTTCCTTTCCACATTCTTTTAGCACAGATTGGCACTTTATTGTCTGCTCCCCTGGTTTAGAAGCTAGTCCCTCATCTTTGTTACTTTTTCCCCCCACCAACCCCAGCTGCAGTCTGGAAAATCCATCGGTGTCTCTTGCTCCTACCTTCCATTCTCAGGCCTGTGTGGCATTAGGCAAGCCAAGCAATAACTTGAGAAAGCTGAATTGCAGGAAGCAAAAAAGTGAGTTCATTTCTTGACCTATTTTGACAAATCACTGGCTCCTTTCTGAGGAGACTAGGCAATCTCATGATCACATAAACAGAACTGGGGCGCAACTGTCCATGAGCCCTTGTCCCTCTGAGGACTGGCTCCTGGAGCACTTGGCTCTGGTGGGCACAGCCATTCTGGTGGTCTTCATGGAGGCAAGGCAGACCTGGGCCACAGCCTTTGTTGCCACACAACCCACGGAATTCACCTACAGAAACTTGGGGGCCAGGTCCCCACTGAAATCATTTTGGTGTATGGCCGAGTGGCACTTCCACTCCATTTTGGTTCACATGGAATCAACTGAAGCCCTTTGTTCTGGCTTCAGGCTCTCAGGTGTGAATGTGGCTGTGGTTGTCTTCCAAAATTCTTGTTTGCTGTGAAAAGAGCACATAGGGGCATTGCCCACACGAAGATGGCATCTGCCCTGACGCACGGAGGAGCGGCGTTCTCTGCAGGGCGTCTTGTTCCTCCCCCGGGGTCCTTGCTCCTTCTCTTCCTCCCTCCGAGATCCTTGATCCTTCTCCCAGAGTCACTCAGATCTGATGACAGTGAGTGCTCTTCTTACTGTTAATATCCCAGACATGGACTTTCAAAGAGCATTTAAGAATTATATTTTAAAATCTGATTCCCAACATAAATCGCATAGACATAGACCATTTTATTGCCCTATAAAACCAAGAGGGGACAGAATGCCCACGTTTCTCCAGATTGTACGCCTTTCCTCCTGAATGTGCAAAGACGCTGCTGAGAAGCTGACCCCTGTCAAATTAGGATCAGCTCATCAGAGAAGTGGGTCATATCTAGCCCTTGTGTTTTAAAGGAGCTTACCAGACTTGAAGAAAGCTTCTTCTCATACTTGGCGTGGGTTTGAACAGTCCAGAGCAGAATGGAGGCAGGAAGGCGTTGGTTGTTAGAACAGTCCTCTAATCTTTCTGCAGCATTTCACGCTGAGAGGGAACCCCCTGGAAATCCTAAGAGTTGAACTATACCCGAAAGGGGAATATTACTTTCTTGACATGATGTTAAGGAACCAGGATCCTGAAGACCTGGGTTCTCCTGTCACTAATTCACATTGGATCTCAGGCAAGTCACTTAACCGCCTTGCGCCCATTTCATCTTAGACCTTCTCCAGGACTCCCCACCTTGGGCGACCCCTTCATCTGTTTGCAGATCATTTGCCTGCACATTCCCCTTTGACTTGTCTCCAACCCTTCCAGGTGGACAGCAGATACATCAAGGCTCCTCTTGAGAGGACTCTAAACCTCTCCTGGTGACCAGTGACCAGTTGCCATCAAGTCCCTTCTATCCATGTCAGAGCAGGGCTGTGCTCCACAGCCAGCTCCCCAGGCCTGTATCCCGGGAACCTCTAGGTGGGCGACAATCTTTCAGTAGCAGCTGAGCTGTAGGGCTGCCCCAGGACTCCTTTCCTGATGAAGATCTTCCACGTTGTTTGTCTGCAGCCCAATGTCCTTGATTGACTTCCCTTCGGCCTCTTCATTACCATCTCAATATCCCTGCCAGTTCCCAGGGTGGCCTCCTGACTGGAGCAGGTGCTGCCTTTAGAATGAGGGGAATGTCCCCAACCTTCAGCTGGTCTCAGAGCATTCAGCATGCCCAGGGCACCAGTCCTTCCTGTGCAGCCGTTCATTCCAAAATGGCAGTCTTCATTAAGGCCGAACTTTCTGCGTAGCTGAGCTTACATGCCAGGAGTCTGAATAATCATGCTCTTTGTAACTCTGTGACTTGAGCTCTTTTCTGCCAGCCCCAGGAAACAATACGGGTGGTGGTGTTTGTGCTTTCCAGGCAAGCAGCTGTCTGAGATGCGAGAGGCCTTTCTTCTGTGGCGTTGATTCTGACTTAGAGCTAAAGTAATGCTCACTGAAACCTCGGCTTGAGTTAAAAGAATAAAAGGTCTTTGTCCCTCAGGCAAGACAGGGAGTTATTAAGAAGCATTTCACTGCAGCCTCCTGTCACAATATCATCTGGAATCGTTCTTTGCCCAGAAAGCCTTAACTTGCCTCTAGAGAATCCCCTGGTGTTAACAGCTGTGTTGTGGCGTTATTCAGAATCCTCTGTGCCGGGCTGAAATGAAGCCACAGCAAAGCCAGAGACCCTCCTCCAGGGGCCTCTGCCCGCTTCCTCATTCATTCACCCCCACAGCACGAGAGACCCAGGCCTGCCCAGTGAGTCCCAATACCTTTCTATCTTTCTTTGCCTCGTTTTATTATTCAAAAAACCCCTTTGGATCATTTGAACAGGTCAAAAATCCATAAGAAGTGGCCTATCTATGACATTTAGAAGCCAAGCAATTAAAGGAAAGAATTAAAAAAAAAAAAAATCACCAGAGGGAACTAGTCCCATCTTCATAAACTAGGATTGCTTTTGCCAAATTGTGTTTGTCACTAAGGTCCTGCCTGACCCCTGCTGGCATAGGGACCGAGGGTGCCTTCCAAACCAGGCCACGACCTCTTGCCCCTTGCTGCCGCCCTGCCTCTGCATTCTGTGAACCCGGTGTCCCCCTGAAGTGGCCTTGGAAACAGGTTACAGAGGTCAGGGGGCAAGCTGTTCCCAGAAAGCAGACAGCTTCCCCTTTAGAAAGAGTCAGCTCCCCCCAAGTTTTCAGAACCGGTTTTTCCTACCGCGTAGGTGATGAGCTGCACTCCCTGAAGTCCATTCCTAGCCAGGGGGAGGAATGTAGCACGCTAGGTTCCATGCAGCTCTCAACTTTTGACTTGACCCTTCTCAGTTAGTAATGAAATTGTTCTCTAACCTGCCTTCTCCCCGTTTCCACGCCCTTTCGCCAAGAAGTCAACCATTGCCATAAGCAGGGGACAGTCCACCTAGAGCACTGGCCCCTCCTCTCCGCAGGTGGGCTCCTTCCAGGGCGCTCACCTCGACCAGCCTGTCACCCAGAGTCCTTGCTGAGCCCCTTGGTCCTGGCGCAGGCCACCCACTCCCAGGATTGGACGGGTCCCGAGTGCAGGAGTGAGGTCTCGCTTGTTTTCCTGGTCCGGCCTCTTTAGTTGTCCTAAAGCACAAGTCCGTGTAGAAGCCTGTCACCTCTCCACCCCAGTTCCAGACCATCTGGGTCTCTCCCACTGCCTCAGGAAGACCTTCACTGTACCTGAGCTTTGGACTTCTGCCACTGCAGCTGCCTTAGTCTCCCGCCAGGGACGGGGTCTCGGGTGGGAGAGCGCGTGCCCCCTGCCCCGCCAAGACTCCCGTCAGCCACATCCTTACGCTGGCAGAGCTGCGCCCAGTTTGATTTTTGAGAACCATCACTTTCACATTCCTCCCCTGATTTGGTTGCGTTTTTGTTCTGTTTGCGGTCTTCCGCAGCCTCAAACGCTGCCCCGAAAATGACGTATTTCCTGCGTTT